TGAGAAAGTTATACTGGAACTACGAATGTTGTAGAAATAGAGTTTCTCGGGGCGTACGAAGCACTCAGACTGTAAGACAGTTGTCCAAAAATAATTCGAATATGAAGGTGTAAATTTGCGGGTACTTTTTATCGTAAGGGTGAACATATTGGATACCAGTTGACATCATACCGTAAGAAAACACAAATTTGCGGGTGGTGAAATATGATCTATAAAAAAGTGAGCTTAATAACAGTTAATTACCTTTTTACTCCCTGATCATGACACTTCGGCTTCCTTTTATGGCCAAAACAGCAAACATACACTTGTTGAGGCTAATATCTTCAATATCTGACTCCAATAAATAATATCCCGTAACCTGAGTATTTAAGGTAGGCTTAATCTCCTAGTAGAATTACGGATTTATCCGAGATTATTGAGAAGCCTGAACATCAGTTATAGAGATAATTTATTGTTAATGATTAATAAAAATCCACGAGCGTACGGTGAGCAAGCACACGATGAAACAGAGTGTGTGTGTGTTTAAAATCCATATATATTTTTGAGAGTTAATCGGGTGTGGATAAATTATCGATTATCTGCACACTGAAACCAATAGGAGGATAGCTTAAGAGTTAATGTACAGACATGCATTCGATCATACACACCGAAATTAACATAGTGAATTAAGAGTCTGAGTTACAATGAATAGACAAATGATACAGTGGCCAAATGGGCTTGCCACATAAGCTCCCATCCAGAACATTGATGTTTTTATGTACCGAAAAAAATTGGATTAACATCTATGTTCGACAAAGAGATAAAGAACGGAACTGTTTTTAAAATAAAAGTACAACTCAATATGATGAGTAAGCGTTAAATTATAATAACAGCTTGTTTGTTGAAACGTTTCATATCGTGTATATACAAGTGTATATTTAAGATTAACAAATTGTATAAAGTTAAATTGTAAGCGTAATGATGATCCGTGGGGCCAATAAAAAAATAGTAATCAAAATAAAGTAGGATTTTTATGTGTTATAAGAGTAGTCTCAGAATTTGGTCTAGATAAATATGGTGGTTGCTACATACCTATCTGGCCGATGTACTCTTCTTCCTGATCTTGTTGTAGTTTGTGCTGCTGCTGAGCTTTGATTTGAAGTGTTGCTTGTTGCAGGTAGTTTGAGTGGTGCTTGCTCTGCTGCAAATTTAGACGGTTTTATACGGTTAGATTTTGATGAATCAGTTGACCGTTGTTGCGATACACTTGAAACACCAACTGATGATGAATGTGATGTTTGACACGTAACCTAATAATCGCAAACAGGATCAAAAACTCTTGATGTCGCTGGTGCTGATAAACGTTCCGTCGGATATATCATCAAGAGCGGATATCCAACAGCTGACAGACATGCATTCGATCATACACACCGAAATTAACATAGTGAATTAAGAGTCTGAGTTACAATGAATAGACAAATGATACAGTGGCCAAATGGGCTTGCCACACACTACACGCTGGTAGCAGATTTCCGGCTTTTCAATATTAAGCTTGCTTTAACGCACTGAGTAATGAGTGCAACCCCTCTATTGCTGCTATATGGCATATTTTTCATAACAAACCCTCTGCAATAGATTGGTAGCATCTATGACTTCATCTATAGTTGTCGGAAGTCTGCGTCCTTTCGAAATCAATACCGATATACCCTACTGATGGACACTCTGTATTAGTTTGACTCGTTGGTGGGATAGTGTTGTCCATAAAACTGAAAATCAAAAAACGCAGATTGTTTCCTTTCATTTTGCCGATAACATCATAAAGGACAGTTAGGAACGAACATGCGAACAGTTAGAGTCATAGGCGGCAGCAACAATTATTTTAGCTAAATAAAAACGAACTTCGGCTTTGGATATCTAGAAAACAAGGTAAAACATAACCGATTGTCGTTTAAAAACGTAAGGCCTTATGTTAGTACTAGCCAGCTTAGCTGAATAAACACAGTGACTTCAGTAGCAGCAGATAAAACCCAGAAAACAAAGCAAAATCAGGAAAAAGTATGCTCCAACGTTTAGAGTATTACACTAACTTCTGGATTTTAGCACACTGAAACATTAAGTTCTGTAGTTACACAAAAGAAATAGCGGAAAAATCACAGAACGAAGAAAGCCGGCCGACATTTTATAACACAAGACTAGCCAGATTGCCCAAAGAAATACATTAACTTGAGTAGAAGCAGCAAAAACCCAGGAAACATCGCTGATTCGAAATAAACTTCCCACCAACATATAAAACATTACACCAACTGCGGCATTTTAGCACACTGAGACATTAAATTACATGGGTACAACAAAAGAAATAGCTGAGAGAAGCATAGAACGAAGAAAGCCGACCGCCAATGCTTACAAAGATGGCGGACGTAATGATTCCCGCCTCATTCTGATTGGTTGCTAAGCTTAATGGCACATTTACGAAATTGAGTTGCGTTTAATTGCAGCCGGGAGAACGCTTTACCCCAAGATTAGTTTATGCACAGAAAATCTGTTGTACTCGTAAGATTTAATTTGTCCTTCATATATAATAATAGCATCGTAAACGCGATACTGGAGATCAGAGAGTCTATGTGAAAGCTATAGCCAGAATAAGAAAAACTCGGATTTAAATTTTATCTGTTTCTAAACGTAAAAACAATTAGATTAGTACAATAATTGAGGGACTTACAGTTATTACATGAAACGAACAAACATACCGATCAGTATTGCGTGTCTTATTGAAAAAGAATAAAATTATGCGTCACACTAATATAATAGGATAATAGTGTCTTTCAATTCGTAGGTCACATGCAACAGGGATAGTTTACAGACACATCAGAACAGATCATCGTGGTGGGCGCTCAAAACAACAATTTTATTAGTTAGTTATGGACAAATGAAAAAGTGCTTATGGCCTTTTAACTAGCCTTGGGATTCTGGAAAGTTCGAGAACGCTACAATATAGGGGATTAATTGAAGTTGTGCTCAGTGGTCTAGAGGCTTAGAGATCGCGCGCGGTCATATTGCATCGATTGGAGTCCTGCGTGAAGAGTCGTGAATGAGCACCGCTGATGAGTCCTACCTTTGACGAAACGGTTGCTCAGTGCCCACAGACTTTTAATGGTGGTCTGCTATTGATCAGTTCATGACTTTAAAGGAGGTTATGTTGTAACGTTTCCATATTTATGCTTTTTGCTATTCGCATCTCCTTAATTTTTTATATATAGCATACTAGATAAAATGATTGCTTACGGTTGACGATGATGACGACAATTATGTCTGCCTTATTGAAGATGGCATGCCATGTGATGGCTGTAAGAGATGGTTCTGTAAGATGGGTGACAACTTATCACTGGGCGCGTGTAGACACCGCTTCTGTAGTAGGCCAACGTCATGTATTGTGATGAAATTTTCGGCGTTGTTTATTTGAATTATTTATATGCGACAAGGGCGACTGAGAGCATTCTAATGGTTTATTTTACTTGTGTGAGGTATTCAAGTTCGTTTGATTTAATTCCGAAACAATTTCAAATGAAATCACGTTTCGGGCTTTCGGTATTGCCGACCGCTACCATTCATTCATCGCTGTCTGGCTGAAGTAATACGCGACATTGATGTTTATCTTTATACGCTAGAAGTTAGGAACTCATGAAGCTGAAACCCGACATCCCAAACCGGCTTCGTAATAGTTTGTAGAGATTGATGTTTCACTGAAGCAATTCTCCTAGATTAAGCCTTGTTCTTCTTTAATATGGTGAAAAATTGTCAAGTTACGACGCGCCCCTAGTAAGTTTGACATTAGACGAAGAAGGAGGTACGAGTTTCATTTCAAGGGCTGTCAGTTCAGCTGTTACTTCTAATCGTTAGACTGAATCAAACTCCCTAAATTCTCGAGGAGAGTAGAACGCCTGTCCAGATTATTTTTAGTCGTAAAAGGACACATTAGATACCACCCGTGAATGGTTCATATCCCTAAACAGTAATGATGAAATGAATACAAGTATACCATGTTTAGGGTGAGAAACTCTCTTACAAGTCATATTGGACAATGTGAATAAGTGAATTGGTTCGGAAAGTCAGTGCAAAAAAGACGATTAGAGGTGAACGATTGTCACATATATGAGGTTGCTTGTTGTATGATTGAACACAGAAAACCAGTCGGCGACAATAGAAGGAATTTGTTGTGGTCCACACTGTCATACTCATTACTTTGTACCTAGTCATCTGTGTATGTGTATTAACGCCGATTATCGTCAAACAAAACGGGATTTCAACGAGCCACACAACAGTTGTGTGGAGCTCAAAACATTAGGTGGATGTCAGCCTGTTGTCAACTAGTAATCAGCGAGCAATCGCAGAATGTATCGCAAATTCGAAAATTATTTGCCTTTCCGAGCAACAGACGAAAACAAAAAATTAGGATAATATATAATATTCACAAATATTATGTTTGAAATAATATTAGTGAGTAAAATCAAAATAAATCCGATATTTCGGATACTATATTGTCTGAACTTCTTCACATTAATAATTAAGACCGAAACTATCACAGTAAAATTCAATGTCGAACAGTTAGGTCAAATTTACGCTAAATGCCTATACAATGATAGTCAGACGTCTACTTTTGTGGGTGGGATAACACGAATCAGTAAGATGCAGACCACATGATAATTTTACAGTGTGGCAGTAAGTGAACATGTTTGCATTTGAATGTTTATGTTATCAATACTTGATATTCAGTGAATGAATGTTATTCACTTGCTTGTTAAAAGTAAAGATTAAAAACTTTACTATCAGCCCAATCAGTGAACGATTTCAAGGAGAATTAGGATCCTCATAGGGAAACTCAGCTACGAGGATAAACTCAGGCCGGACGACCTACAATCCTTATCACCGAAGACTGTGATCACGATTAAAAGGCCAACGGTCATTCTAAAAAAACGCGTTATTGACTATGAATGTAAAATACTCCGCAACATTGCCTTTGTTTTATGTCATTTTTAATTTTTTGGTGTTGTTTGTCTGCACAAGTACGTGAGGTCAAGTCTGCTGAAGGTCGAGGTAAGAGTGGCCTAAGTTTTGGGGAATTGCGCTTACGATAGAGCGTATGACAAATAGTATTTGTGCTTTTTACAGACCCCATTAAGGAAGCGTGAAAGTCTAGAAAGCCTATATTAGTGTTGGCGATGTGGAATTTTAATTTCATCCGACTTTCTTTTTGAAATGTGTCGAGAAAACCAATAGAACCACTTTTAAAGTAATGAGACTCACTTGAGGGTGAATTAATAAGAAATCCGGGCGTCAACTGACAGCTGTTTGGTTATTTTATGTAGACATTTTTCAATGCTTTCATGGATTCTAAAAGATAAAGGAGTCTGTTGCAGGCGAAAAACTTTTAGTCGGTTCAAAGGCTGACCAGATCATCCGTGTTTTTTCTGTATGGCGGGGAGTGGAAAGTTTAATTTTCTCTATCGTCATTTGTTTGCTTTTAGATTCCATGAATCAATCTAATTGTGGTTCTTCGAAACCATTCTTACGGCCCACTGCTATTTTGATGGTTAACTGCTTGTATGCTCTTTTCGAGTTCTGGTCAGCCAAACACTATCCAATGTCATGAATTCTCTAAGATTACTTGACTGAAATCTTCAAGTATTGAAAAACAGTTCCCAAGCTTTTAGCTGTTGCATAGAAGTGTGAGTGATATATAAGTTCTCACTGATACTGACTCCTTAATTACTGTTCGAACAAGTAACGCATCTCTATTCTCCATGTACTTACTTGTACCTTGGTGTGCTGCATGCGTCATAATACACTTGGAGGTATTTGTCATCAAATACCAAGTAAATCTGCTGATTTTGGAAGATCTTTTGTGCAAATCCACTCTATCCCCTTCGTTGTTTGTCACTATCCAAATTTCCACATTGCTGGTATACAACAGAACAGAAAGCTAGGAAAATCACTGCTGGAACTGTATCTTGTAAAACTCGATTATCAACTGTTTTTCACCCAAACAACTGGAAGTTACCCCTTACTGTTTGAATAAGACTAAAATGTCGTTTATTCACTGAATCAAATGTATTGTGGTCTCAATACTGCTAAACTTATATAATCTCGTATCAGGAGCATTGTTAAATGCCTTTATGAAGTTGGTGAAGGTGACATCTATGGATTACTTTTGATCCCTCAACATTAGTTGTCCTTTTTGTGCCACTAATTCGATTGTGGTACACGAATAACTCCCTGTGATGTCAAGCTGATTAAGTCTGAAAATATGTTGTCATTGTTTTGTGTAAGTTGTCAAGAAAGCGACTAGGTATGTGAAAGTCATTTTAAAGCCTAAAACGTTCAACGAGCAACGGTATATCTCATTTGAAATATTGTCAACTTCAAATTACAGGCTTGTATGTTAAGCTACGTTTTTCACATCTCTAGTTTTGGACAATATTGTTGGCACCAAGTTGATTTTGTAACATAATTTTTTATCGTTTCAGCTAATCAGTTTGTGTGCTCTCTAACTGCACAAGCTAAAACAGCAGGGATTATATTTTTGTATCGTAAAACCAATTCTACTTAGATAACGGTTAGATTTCTGATTTTCTGCATTTGGAAGGGATTAATGAACGGTCTTTGCCTTCACCAACATAAATGTCTGATAATTAGATGGAGTTAAAACTGAGTAACTAGGTGCAGAGTTGATGTTTATGTACTTGTTTTTGAGCTGAGCTGAGCTGATTGTCAGAGCTATTGATTGCGACCCACCCATACTAAACAAATTAAACGAGCCTTGTGCTTCTACGTGGCTTAATACCTATTAGTTGTGAAGTTATGTGTTCAAGTTATAGCTCAGCAGTTTGTTGAAGTATCGAATATATTTTAAGTAGTGTTTTCTGGAGTATTCCAAAACTAATTTATAGTAAAAATTAACTGGTTTTCGTTCTTGAATTTTTCTTCATTCAAAACTCACTGTGCAATAGGAAATATTCTTCCAAAGGACTCTGATAACGTTAATGAAATCTGTAATAATGATCCTTCAGGCTAACAGAAATACTTTACTGACATTCAAAAATGTGGGTCCTAATTAATTTTGTGTTTTTTGTTTCTAGGTTGATATTTATAACAGCTTCATGGCTCAGTGTGAATCAAATGAAGTTGTAGATTTACATGAATTCCCCTTCTTTCATTCCTATATCTCTGACGTGGAATCAGGTAATATCGCCTCACATTCTGAATCCCATATAAGTTTCAATATGTTCGGGACGTGTTCTTTAAGAAATGTTCGGCGTATTATGCGTCAGAGTCGGCGTCTGAAACCATTAAGAGTTCACTTACTAAAATCTGTATTGGATTTATGCAAAGCTGCTGATTTGGAGCCATTTGTTTATGGTGGCACAGCTTTATCTGTATTCCGTGAAGATGGAAAATTCATATCACATGATACAGACATTGACTTGGGCATTTTAGAATTTGATTCTAATGGAAACAGTTCGTACACTAAACTGATTCATTGCTGTTTAAAAAATGGTATAAGTGTTTTCGGTGTGGAAAATATGGATGAATCTTTACTAATCAGTGTCAATTCTGATTTATATGTCGATTTTTCGGCCAGTATCAGTAGACGTTTTTGGCTTAAAGCGCAGAAATTCAATATTTCTGAAACCATTGAAGAGATACCATACAATGGATGTGATTGCAAACGCATTAAGTTCTTTTTCAGCACTAATGGTTTACTTAAAGCCTGTGAATTATATCATTTAAACTCAAAAATTGTAAGTCATATACAATCGGATCCATCATTAGTACATGTGGATTTGTTCACTCTATCTACTTATCCAGATTCCTCCGATGACATAAAGCCTTTGCTTGTAAACTGGAATTTGCCCGGTATATATGACTGCAAAAAGAAATTATTCCCATATAATTCTTTCTTTCCTTTAATACCATGTACATTCGAAGGTGTAAACTTGCTAGCTCCGCATGACTTAAAAACTTATTTAACTATCGAATACGGTTACTTGGGACGAGATGCTGTGTATGATCGTAAAAAGCAGTTGTATGTAAAAATTCCTTCAAAGTTTTCTTCTCAATTACCATCGTACTTCACATGATGCCTAATTTACGAGTATATCTTTGGATTACACTTTCTAATGTAATAAACATTTTAATATTGTGTCACTCCAGAACCTTGGTATTGTCTTTTCTTGATATCTCATTTTTTTGTAACACTTTTTGTACATAGATTATATTTTACGAATAAAAATATACTATTTTGAACAAATAAACCCATTTTATGTGAGCTTAGAATGACCTATTCATAATCAAAAGGTTAAAAATTGTTTTTATTATTTCGTATGTCTGTCTTTACGAGATATTCGACGAAAAATACATCACTGGTTGGTATAAGTGGTTCTCACATTTAAATATTTGTCGACAGGATGTTGTTCCTATTCAGAAATAAATTTCCCTGCTATACTCTCTAGTCATCTAACTTTATAAGAAATAAAAATAGTTAGACTTATAAGTTATATCTTCTCTTTTAGCTAGGTAGTTATCTTCCTCGTTAGAGAGTGTTGACTTGGATGTCCGAATGACCAGTCGTATTAAAAACTGGGTAAAGGTACCTTTCCCTTATACACAGAGACCATATCATGATTAGAAATAGGGACAAAATGAGTAGTAGTCCCTTGAGCAAATTATTTGCTGAAAAGCTTTTATCCTGAATATTGTAGGTCTAAATTTTTCATAATCGTAGTCCAAAAGTAGTGATATGTTCACATGGAATCTGAAATTTTCTGACTCAATGTCTAGATTATTTTCGTATCAAAACAGCTTTGGAGTTTTAAAGTTAAAATTTGGTATTGACTGTTTTGCATTCACCTATCAGAAAAAATTGTGCTGCCTAACTGTATATTCCGTACTAAATTATGACTTTGAAATGTGGTGTTTTAATGTAGAGGACTTAGTTTGAGGTTTGGTTGAAATACCGTTAGCTTCATGATTTAAACTGCTAATATTTGAAACATATGCATACATGTATCAGAAAATTGTGTATTATTACTATTTTTCTATTGTTCCAAACACTTTTCCGCTTTGTTTCAGTACTTAATTCAGTAAGATTATATCTGACAACGAGCAATAAAAATTCATCTTAACTTATGTAATATCTTGTAGGTGTAAAATGAAGAGAATATTTAGCTCGGGACGTCTGACACGTCTTCGCGATTTATTGAAAGATAGAAATTTGCAAGGATATATACTGCCAACAGAAGACGAACATTTTAATGAGTATGTGGGCAATGCAGATAGGCGTTGTGCATTCATCTCTGGATTTACAGGTTCTTCCTGCTCCATTGTTATCACTTTAGATCAAGCTGCTTTATGGACTGATGGTCGATATCAGCTACAGGTGGTTTTCTCCTAGAAAAATAAGTATTTTAATCACAATTTCGAAGCAGTACAACTATGTCGACATTTTTGTAGTTATTTACTAGTTAACTTCAAGTAAGATCAGAATTCGTTAGGTGGTAATTTATCTGAAATATGGTAATCCTCCTTGATTTTCCCATATTTCAGTCCTAATTTTGATAAAATCACTTCACAAGGAAGAAATTGAGAGCCTAAAGCTTCTTTCTGTTGTCCATTGTTATCCGATTACTTCACTTAGGCACTTTAAGATGTCGTTATTTTTAGCATTTAGTAGGCTTCAGTCGTATATACATCCTGAGTTTCAAAAATTTGTAGTGAATAATCAACTGGATATAGTTTGTTTCTAGATCTCATGGTATCGTATATATACAGTTTGCTAATACGCATACCGTTTCACAGTTGAAATTTCTAATAAAGTGCGTCTGAGCTGTTGTAACCGATTGTCAGCCATGTTACCTGACATCTTCACCGCGCGGATCACAATCAGGTAGTTTGCATCTGTCTGCTAGGCTCACCAAAGTCCAATGACCAGTCAAACTGAGGTCTCGTTTTGGCTCAGTCGCATGTGGCTTCCAACTTACTGCACCAGCTAACATCGCACCATATTAGTTGGTTTTGGGTAAAAGTAATCTATTTCCCCACTGTTTCAGTTGATATAGAAACTTTGACTCACCAACCACTTTATCGTCATTACTCCGTACACTGCAACTAACCTTAGCATTGCTCACTAGCTGCTCTTAACAAGACTGATGACTCGACAACACCTTTGGTCAACCCAGCCGTCGCTGCTACCGTAACGTGGTGATCGGGCTCGCTTGTCGGGCTATACAGGCTAAAGCGATCGTTCCTCAAGGTCCTACTATGCCGGACAGGTATGTTGAAGAGCGGTAAGACTAAAAGAAGCAAACCCAAGGCCCAAGAGCGGAATCACACTGATGACTGTACCGAATTGTGACGGTAGTAAAGTGTTTCCTTCAGACAACCAGCATAACAGCGATGCTACCTTCTCAAAGGGGAACGATGTGGTTACAAAATGTCGATCCTACAAATACACATATGGCCTTATCTCACGGATTTCCGTCTCTTAACAAGTACGGAGCTAACACAAAAATAACCCACATAAAGGTCGTATGTGGCCGGTCCCAAGCAGTTGTCCCTTGGGCACTTCTGTCACGCTCTCAGGTCATTAACGTCATCTCTAACCCGAATTCCTTTTCAGTTACCACTAGAAGAACTCTTCCTTGGTGTGGACATTCGGGAATTAAGAACCGCCCTCATACCTCTAACAGCACGCAAGACCACTGACTAACTGATCTACGATCAAATACTAGTAGTCGACCATTGTTGTCTGCCTTCAGAACCCACGATACACAGCCATAGATTAGAACAGAGTAGAATTCTGTTCAGTATACACATCTTCTTGTGACAGAGATAGATATCTTATCTACGCCACCGGTGATGTAAATTGATAGAATCAAGTGGGACTTTTGAGTTGTTGCTGAGATCTTATCAGTGATTAACTCACTAAATCTGATGAGACTTTCTAGATAAATGAATTAGCGTTGCATACTCCGGTTAAAATGATCCCATTTTGGCAAATGTATTGCAGGTAAAGTCATTTATAAGCTCATATCCATACTTGTTTTGATCAAATTTTTATTAAATGATGGCTAAATATACTAAAAACTTATTATCAATCGGGACTTGCGGTCACATGGTCGAATAGCCTATAGATTGCTGCAACTTGGACCGATGCATATATGTGCCTGGTCCTACGTTGTAGCTGACTGACTGAGATTGCTGTATTTACGTCCGGAACATCTCTAAAACAAGTCAGACTTACTTCGTTCATGGATATTTAGTCATCGATCAACCTGATAATGTTAATATCTTTAAAAATAAAGGAATTAATACAATTAGTACACTATTTTTTCAGGATGGAGTAATAACGTAACGCCGGGTTTTTGTGTAAGCTCAAGAACACTGATAATTGTCAGTTCTTCAATAACGGTTTGATTTCCTTCATATCAGTGTAACAACATATTATAGGACTGTTTTCTAAGTAAGGTATTGGCTCAGTAGTTCAAGAATTTAACCTTTATTAACAGTGTTGAAAGCTCGGACTCTTCTACCCACTGCGTTTTTGAGCACTCGGATAACATAATGAGTTTTCGTACAAATGTAGATAATTTTTTATTTATTAAATTAATGCCCAAGTTATAAACTTAGTTCAGCGCTCATGAGGTAAATTACTGAAGTATATATTCAATACATAAGTTACTATTACTTGTATGTGTGGCGCATATACATTTGGCGCACTCCTGTGCCAATATATATGTGTTCAAATAAATAAATAAATTACTTGTAAAAGATAATATTGTCTAACGTTATCCAATAAATCTCAACTGCTTTTTCGTTTATATAGGCTTCCAATGAACTAGACGAAAATTGGTCATTATTTAGAAATGACTTAACTGAAGCGCCTACAAGAGCCCAATGGATTATTTCGTCAACTTCACCTGGTTCGTCTATTGGATATGATGGTAGACAAATACCTTACACGGGAATTGAAACATTACAAAAAGAATTGGCTGGTGTTGAAGCTGAATTAGGTATTCTACCAAATTGTAACGGAATTAAAAATCCTCTCAGTCGACAGTTAGTTAATATACCAAACACAAATTTGATTGATCTGGTTTGGGAGTCTATGTCTGAATTACAAATTGAAAATGTTTCTCGTCCTATTCGTTCATCAAATCCACTGTTATTTATTCCAGTCTCATTTTCTGGTTCAAGTTGGCAGCAAAAAATTGATCGTGTTAGAAATATGATGAAAGCAAAAGGGGCTGAATTACTGGTTTTATCTGCATTGGACGAGATTGCATGGTTATTCAATTTACGTGGAAATGATATACTTTATAATCCAGTGTTTTATGCATATGCTATTGTGAGCTTGAATAAAATAGACTTATTTTTGAATCCGAAAACTGTTGATCAAACACCTAGGCTTGATGATTACTTGAGCGATAAACAGTATTCAGTAAGTTATTATTAGGCATTAACTAACAACCAACTTACGAGCTTAAAAAATGCTTTTATTTACAGATACGTATCATCATAAATCAATATCAACCGGAGCATCGGTATTCCAATGCGACCCACGCATCAAGTACAGGTTTGTGTACTTAGCTTTCAGTTACACTTTAGGTGTATGCTAATTGGCTGGTGAAAATAAAATAAGTAGTGTGTGTGGGGGGGGGGGTGAACTTATGATATATCAATTGATATCTCTCTTTATCTCTTAAATAGCTTCCAAAAAATGAACTGAACAAACTTATTTTGAAACTGAATTAATTATATAGACTGTAGACTTTATGACTTGTCTACTACATAGTTATAAAAATATACCGTATCATACTGCTAGTCACTGAAACACTTCTCAGTTGTAAGTTAAGAAAATTCTGAAACGGCAACCCAATGTTTTTATGGTACAACACCTGAAGTCTCATATATATATGTATATTAGGACTGATCGATCAATCTCTTTTGGGTATATGTTCATCCTGTGCGGATTGCCTTGATTTTGCCATTAGTACTTATTTTTAATTGTTTATTTTCGTAAACGTAAAATCTGGTAAAATGGCACTAAAAGTGTGTGCGCGACACAAATAGAGCGATAACTGTGTGAAGAAATAAAGAAGAGAAGAGGATTACTATTGTTAAAAAAATATTTGAAACAGAATACTATGTTATAGAAGATATAGTTAAAAATTGAACTAAAAAATGTTTCTTTGCACCAATTTGGTAAAAGGAACCTCGAGTCGACAGCTTAGTTCCTATTCGTTCATTCGCCATACACAAGCGCCTCTTTATGCCTTGTCTTAGACCCAAAAGTCAGCAACCAGTCTCTACTATATCTATATTTCAAACAGTCGTGGTTTTGATATAGAAATACCAGACTACATCACATCATACAGTGAAGAGTAACAACCATACATGAGCAAGCCAAAAGTGGATGTAAATGTGGGAGACTATAATTAACGGACTGTCAACAAATTAAGCTTGGTAAATTGTACAATATTAGTTAATTAATCAACTGAAAGATTATAACAAAATGAATACATAGACACTAGTAATCTAGTCACTCACTAACTGTACTACAAAATTATAAGTAATAATAATTTAAAAAACCAGTTCCAGCTTCTACAATACTTGTTCCGTCATAACAAACTTCTATAATTTTCTCTATATTATACCTATACTACTCTAGTTATTAGTTTATATCATTTTCATCTTGGTATTTACTACTTCACGGAAAATGTCTTCTGTTGTTGAAATGAATTACTCTTCAAGAAACAAAGTATTCCTACCCCTTCTTGCATATGTATATATTTATCATTAGGTAAAAATTCATCCATATTCTGAATTTTTCAACTATTTGGAAACTGTTGTTCATAATTCACCGGAAAAACATTTATCATTGCAACCGTCACGTGTATGGCTCGATATATCTGCTAGTTATGCAATTGTTACAAAAATACCAGAAAATCGACGTCTATTTCATATCTCACCTGTTGCTGAAATGAAATCTATCAAATCTTTATCAGAATTAAATGGAATTCGTGAAATTCACATCACTGATTCATTAGTATTATGCGATTTTTTGGCTTGGTTAGAAGATGAAGCTAATCAAATTAATAACAACAGCTGTTGTAAGCAGTCACATGATTACAAGCCAATAAAACCAAATACAGAAAATGGTGCAGGTCTACCGGTAATAACACCACCACTTGTTTTAACTGAAGCATCAACTGCTCAATATTTAGATGAATTACGGTCACAAGCTAAAGATTTTTTCAGCTTAAGCTTCAGCACGATATCTTGCGCTGGTAAGCTACGATATATATATATATATATCGTTTATTTGAGGTTTGTTAATAAATTGCTTGTTATCTGAACGAAATTTGTTTTGTGTTGCGTTACCATAGTTATTATGTATTCTATGTTATCGTCTTATTTATTCTCCTTATTCATTCAATTATGGATTTTTTCTAGACGCAAATGGAGCTATTATACACTATCATCCTGTTGAAGGTCAAAGTGCACCTATTACTAATACAAGTATATACCTTGTTGATTCTGGTGGTCAATACTTGACGGGCACAACGGATGTCACGCGTACAATCCATTTAGGTGAACCAACATTAGAACAGAAGAATTGTTATACAACTGTCTTAAAAGCACATATTGCACTTGCTATGCAAGTAAGTGACAATCTTTTTTTTAAAAATCAAAAGTAGAATCATATTTCTTAGGGTTTTCAAGCTAAGCTTTTATAGTTTTCCAATGTTCGTTTCCAGTGAAAATGCTTGTTAAATTCTTGTGGTAGTATTCATTGAATTATTAAGCGGTAACTTACTGAAGTTCGTCAGAATAAATTTGGCTTTCCGGAAAGATTTATTTATTTATTTATTTGAACACATAAATAATGATACAAGAGACCACCAAATATATATGCGCCACACAAAACAATGAGAATTCGAAGAGAAAAAAGGTTAGGAGCGTGAAAAAAAGAACGTTAACGAACAGATTAGTGTAAGGTAGTGTAATAGTGATGAAAATAAAAATAATAATAGTAATAATGGGGTAAACGGAAAGGTACAATCAGAAGAAATCTTTCAGTTAAGGAAGAAACAAACATTTTCTTATGAAGAAAGTAAAAGAAGGTTAAAGCGGGATCTCCACTGGCTTCTATTCTGAGGCATATCTGATAACGTCTGTAGCCACTGTGTCGCACCATCTCTAGGACCCCAGCCCGGGAGTCGTGAAGGACCAACAGAAGCCAGCCCTTTGCAGATTTCTTTCATACCACTACACCATGTCATACACTGACCACCTCTCCGCTTTTTCCAACCAGTCCCAGAGTCGGCAAATAATGCACGACGTGGAATTCACTGGGATGACATTCGTAGAACATGTCCAAGCCACCGAAGTCGGTGTTTCAAGATAGTGACACCAATTGCATTATCGTCTCTGTGCCCGAACACACGATGCCGAACCTCTGTATTACTAACATGATGTTGCCAATAGATGTCAGCAATCCTTCGTAGACAACAACGATCGAACACAGAGAGTCGTCTAACATCCTGAACTCGGAGAGGCCAGGTTTCACAAGCATAGAGCAAAACTGCTCTCACCGACGCGTTGTAGACCCGACATTTTACAGCCAGACTAACATCACGAAGGCGCCAAAGATGGCCTAGATTGGCATAAACCACTCTGGTTCTCACTATACGTGCATTGATCTCATCACTCACACCCCCACAATGACTTATGCAGCTACCTAGATACACGAGCTTCTCGACTACTTATATTTGTTCATTACCCAGGGTAAACACAGGATTAGAATCCTGCCAGTCTTGTAGAAGTACTTTGAACTTCGAAAGTGCAAAGCACATACCATACTTACGGACACTGATTGCCAACTGATTAAGTGCGGATTGCATGCCTTGGGCATTATCGCACAGTAAGACAATATCGTCCGCATACTCAAGATCGAGAAGTCTTTCTCCAGGCAACAGATCCACACCACCATTACTTACATTCATCAGAGCTGTTTCCAGAATGTCATCGATGGCAGAGTTGAAGAAGAATGGTGAGATTGGGCAACCCTGTCTAACCTCACTGCTCGAATGTAACAATCGGGAGAAGTGGTTGTATGCCCTCATTCTGCCTGAGGTGTTTGTATATAGGGCTTTTAGGAAGTTGATAAACTTCCCACGCACACCCTTTTTCAATAGACAATCCCAGAGGACATTTGGCGGAGGGTGAAGATATGATCAATACATCGTCGACCAGAATGAAAACCAGCCTGCTCTTCGCTAGTCAATCTTTCTCAGGTTTTGAACAGTCTACGAAGTATGAGAGAAGCCAATGGTTTGGACGCAGTCTGAAGTAGACTTATCCCCCGATAGTTGTTACAGAAATGACGTGAACACTTTTCAATGATAGGGACAATTATCGACACATTCCACGATGTTGGGACACTCTAACTGCCAAACTTTTGTAAACAACGCAGTCAGTTCCTTAACCAGGAAGTCACCACCATCTTTAGGAAGGGCCGTAGGTAAGTCATTTGAGCTCGGTGATTTGTAGCGCCCTAAGAGTTGAAGTTTTTCGCGAACTTCTGCCTCATTCGGTGGATCAGTCGTCACAGGCCATGGAGGGCAGGACAGTGCGACCGATGTTGCTGGAGCAGCAGGCCAGTTGAACTGCCCTTTGAAAAATTTTGCCCATCGTCCAAGACGTCGATGGATGTTACTGATTAGCATCCCGTGATCCTCACAGATTGTTTCGCTCATACCAGACTTCTTGCTGTCAGTGGCTCGGATGAGTTGGAAGAGCTTCCGGTAGTTACCAGCTCATTAGCACGCTCCGACCACCAGGTTTTCCGGTCCTTACGCAAGCTTTGCTCGATTTCATTACGTAACAGTCGTCGTTTTTGGTCAAACTCACGGTCACTCGGAGTAGACCGACGGGCTTCGATGAGTTGTAAGGAGCCTAAAGAAATCCAGTGCTTGTAAGCTGGACGTTTCGCCAACCCACAAGTGACTTTACTCGCCGTTTTCATGGCGTCATGCGATTGCAACCAATGTTCATCTATACTTTTCGGTGGAATGCTAGCTAGCCTTGAACGTGGCTCGGTTTGATATTTAGTTGCAAAAGAAGTTGCAACCAACTTGCTGACATCAATCCTTGGGTGGTGGTCACTTCGTTGGCCACGGAAAAGTAAGGAGAGATTGGCACAGACCATGGTATGATCAGAGTCCAGATAGGTACTCCAAAAAGAGCGGCAGTCTTGTACACAACCACACCAGTGGTAGCTGACTGCGATGTGATCAATCTGAGTCCAGGCTTGAGATGCAGAGGGAGGACGCCAGGTAGCACATCGGCGATGACTGTGCCGGAAGTTAGTGCTAGCCAGAAACAGGTTGTGGTCTGCGCACAGTTGCAGTAGACGGTCCCCGTTATCTGTCGTGCGACTAACAAGTCCCCATCGGCCACCTAAACGACTCTCTTCTGTGCCTAGACGCCTGACCTGAGCATTCAAGTCTCCGGCTAGTACTACAATATCTGTCGAACGCACTTTCTGGAGAAGAACAGTTAACTGGTGGTAGAATTCATCCTTGATTGCATCCGGGCTGCAATCTGTCGGGGCACAGGCGGAGATGACGAAAAGACATCGTTTCTCACGCCGATTTCTTCTTACTTTGATGGAACTTTCTAATCTAACAGCACATAACCGACCGTTAGTGGGGATCAAATCGGTTAGTGCTGCCTCAGCTTCAGCTCTTAGTGCGACACCAACGCCAGCGAGACCAGACGAAGATGCCACAGGGTCCCCAGATAAACGCACGTGAGATAAGCTTTTCGAAGCGACAGATGGAGAGCAAATTTTTAGCACTAAACTAGAGTCTTGAATACGGGTCTCGGATAGACAACAGATGTCGATATTAAGTCTTTCTAAAGACATATCCAGCCCTACTGTTGTCCGATCTGCATAAGTGTGCGAACGTTGAAGGCAGCCAGTTTGAATGGTGCACGTGATTTCAGAAAAAATTGCTTCAGTATTCGTATTTGGTGGTAGCATAAAATTTTCAGCCAGGCAGTGACTCGAGAACGTTTAGATAGAACCGCGTTTCCACCATGGACGAGCTGCTGTATGAGTCAAAAAATAAAGATGCATAAAGTGGGAATAAAAGAGTGAATGAATGATGTTAAAGATAATAATAATAATAACAATAATAGTAATAATAATAATGTGAATCGTATGATTATTGATCAAAGCAAAATATGTATTTTCCATAAATCTCGACATTTCATCATAATTGTGTGTGGGCTGTGATACTGCCCGGGTGCCCAGACCGAGGCAGGTGGTTTTCTTAGGTAGCCTAACCCCGAACCTTTGACCTAAAGGTCTGATCCACAAGGCAGTGCAGCATCGTGAGGAGATGCAGTTCCATGGTAGCCGGTGACCAACGATTTGTTCACACGCCATTTGTTCATTCAGGATACTGGAGCCCATGTGCACCATTGGTTTGGAATCCGGTTAAAGCGCCGGACATTCGCTTTTCATCCTTTCGTTTTCGTAAAAGACATCCCCGTCACGAGAAGGCAGTGAGCAGGAATTCTATGGCAGAGGCTATGTACGCATGGCCATGTGAGAGCATTTCGAGAGGGGGAGCTGACTCAAGGGCCATTGTCATTGGGACAGTGTAAGGTATGCCGCTATTGGTAACATTAATGAGTTTGACTGTCGTGTAAGCGAAATAGGTCAAACTTGACTTGTTCGTGCTGTGCATAATTAATTCACGCGAACATTGATCGGAATAACTATATGTGTGACGTCAATGTGTATACGAATTGCCCAGGACTACAAGAGTATATCATATATAACCAATAACAATAAGCTTATTCTATTATATATCAATAAGTTCAATAATTATGAATTACATAATTTTATCAAATTGCACACTTATCACTCAACACAAAATCACATTGAATAATTAATTAATACAAGGAGAAATACATTGAAGACCAAATAACTTACAGGATACTAAATAAGTTAATACAATCGAAAGTTTACTAAGAATCAATGAACAAAATTTCTTCGAAATTAATGAAAACAACAAGAATGAATTAAAGGTTAACTGAATAAAGAATCACTGAAAAATCGATATGCAAATTTTAGAATTGATTCTCTTTCTCTATTGTTACTTTATGGAGATTTAGCATTTATTTATTTATTTGAACACATAAACATTGATACAGGGGGGTATCAAATACATATGCGCCACACAATAAAATTGAAGCCAGTAGTAGTTATCATTGATTTGTGTGAGGGCTGTGGTACTGCTCGGGTGCCCAAACCGAAGCAGGTGGTTTTCTTAGAGGGCCCCACCCGGAGCCTTTGATCCGAAAATCTGATTCACAAGGCAGTGGAGCAACGTTAGGAGATACAGTCTTATGGTAGACGATCACCAAAAACAGGTTCATACGCCATTTGTTCTCTCAGGATCCTGGGGCTCATATGCACCATTTGTTTGGAGCCAGGGTTTTCCAACTCCCCTACATGGATCCTCCGTGTCCACCAACCGGCTTAAAGATCCGGACACTCCCTTTTCGTTCTCTCAATTTCGTAAACAACACCCCCGCTTCAAGAAGGACTCCCCTGGCAGTGGCTTCCTTAACACTTTGTGACTTGTCACTTCATGATGTTTTTTTGTTTTCTTTTTATATTTACTACTTGTTTATTTCAGGTTTGTGTTCTCATTTCTTCTTTTGAAGTAATTTCTTCTGCTTATTTAGAAGCGCAGGAAGTTGATTTGATATTCTTATTGACCAAAGGTACTACATACATAATATTGAGATTTGCATCTTTTACTGAATCCATAACATTACGTATTTATAGAAATCAATACTGTTTAAACGAGACGTATATCCTGGAAGTTGAAACTGGTTTTTCGAATTACTATTGTCTATGTATTCGTTTTGTTATAATCTTTCAGTTGATTAATTAACTAATATTGTACAATTTACCAATCTTAATTTGTTGACAGTCCATTAATTATAGTCTCCCACATCTACATTCACTTTTAGCTTGCTCATGTATGGTTGTTACTCTTCACTTTATGATGTGCTGTAGTCTGGTATTTCTATATCAAAACCACGACTGTTTGAAATATAGATATAGTAGAGACTGGTTGCTGACTTTTAAGTTTAAAGCAGGGTATAGAGAGGCGCTCGTGTATATTGGACTAACAGGATTTTAACTTTGAGTTTAAGGTAAATGGTGCTTATTATGCATGTTATTGGTCAATTAAGGGATACTAGGTTCTAAAGTCAGCGTCCTGATTGGTGACTTGGTGTATGATTTTGGTCCATAGGATTTCAATGCATAACAAATATTCACACAGGTAATTTGTTACTTAAAATATTAATAAATATACACCACCAACGACCACGGTGATGTTTTAAACGATCTCGAGAACTTGAAACCAATTAGAACGCACGTGATATAAGCAAAAATAATTTATTACATTGAAAGCATAAATAGCAAAGTTGGATAGTGTCTAACAATGGAATCCAGGGTGCGCGTATCGTTCTATTTGACACTCGTCAACTGGATGTACCTGCATCTCAGAGTTGATTTTCATTCTGGGAGTCGAACCCAGTACCGTTCGCTTCCATCACCGTCGCGTTATCCACTTAGCTACTGCGTCCTGATACAAGTAAACAACATAAAGTGAATATAAATACTTTATGATTAGAATTAACGGTTTGTGCTAGGTTTGGGAGTTAGATGTATGTAATTAATAGTTTTGAATAGGAATGAAATTAGAAGATGCTTCATAGCCATATAGATGAATACTTAGGTATTATCGAAACCCTTTTATCTACGTTTAGAATTTCATATATTTTGTTAAAGTTTTATCTGTTTATTATTTTCTGCATGAAAGACTGATCATTCTCTCGTCATTTTAAAAACTGCTCAACTTCGTCTTTATCCTTTTTTCTTTCTATGTTTATCAATTTTATGTATCGTAGTTTGCAGATAGTGTTAGGTCTCAGTTTTTTCCCAATTCAGTCTTATCGAGATACAATCTCTCTGTCATTGAGTTTTTGATTTCATACGAAAACGTAAGAGCCACTGCCATGGATTTGATTGGTTCATCAATATAATTAACTTTTTCAAGTGTTTTGTTATTAAGATGCGTATAGATACTATATTGAAGGATCAATTAAAAAAGTCTATATACTAACCAAACTCAATCATTCTAGTGTTATAAATCAATAGTGGAATGTAAAAAGGCAAGCAATATAACAACATGATTCAATAACTGATTAATTTATACTCAAACACTATGTTCAACTAATGTGAAATCGAAATATTTTCTGATTATTTATTAATTTAAATAGATTTTTCCATCGAATACTCCGGGTTCAAGACTTGATATTATATCTCGTCGAATAATGTGGCAATTTCATGGTAATTATGCTCATGGAACAGGACATGGTGTTGGTGCATTTCTCAATGTACATGAAGGTCCTATTGGGTTGTCTGGTAGTCGAATTAACGCATACTCTCGTTTGGGCATAGTAGAACCAGGCTTACAAGAAAATATGGTAATAGAAAATGTGTTTCTTCCTTTTTTTTTATAAGTTTTCAACTTTTTTTGTTAACATTTTCGTTTGACAGTTTAATCTCAATATTCTACTACTTTTCATTTCCTTTTAATTGATGATTGCAGTGATTTGACTTATAGATAGTCTTGAAAAAATGTTAGAAGTTTGTATCAGTCGGGGAATCATTTAAAAATACAAATCTGATTAAACCACTTAATCTGCATTCATTTTAAGTAATTGGAAGAAGTTGACCGGGAACCTGGGACATGAGTCAAACTTTGAGCGATATTGAAGTGACCTTGAGAAAAGTTGCCTGATTTCTAGTACCATAAGAGGGTTATAAATTGGTGTAAGGAATTAGGATTACGATTTGGAGTTATAAGTTATGGTTAAGAATTAGTGTGAGGGTTTTAATCACGAACTGATATCAGCTTTAATGTCAAAATTCTATTTAACTTTACGGATAAATAAATTTCGTGCCAAAATCTAAGACTTGCTATCATTGGTTCGTCCATAAATTATAGTCCGACCGTATGCCTTGCTAAATTAAATCTGGACCAAATATGATTTCCTGTCAGTCATTTTCAACCACCTAACAAATTTATATACTGCGCACGATCTTATTGAGTCATTTAGACTTGTAGTTACATTACAATTTTATCATAAATATGAATATTGTGTTTACTATTTACTCACTTTGAGATTGATTTACCTTATTTTCCAATAATTAGATATAATCCATTAAACTAATTAAATTTTATGTTAAGTAAATAATTTATCCATGAGATTGAATGCTTTTGTTGCTCTATATCTTGAGTTTATAGGTGTCGCTTTCTACGCTACACCTAAATGGATTCAGTTTTGTGTGAAAATTCCCGCAAGATTATTCGTTAGATGTTTCAAAATCAGACAAAACAGTTTTCCAAATCTTTTTTAAAAGATTCTTTTGTTGATGGTATTTTGTAGTGAAAACCTTGCAGTTTATTTGAATACTGAATGTATTTTTTAGTTACTGCCTTATTTCACTAGTTTTTTTTAAAGTGCTATTAACGACTCATAATCTGTCCTACGACGGCGCCCAAATTATTACAACCTGCAATCGGAAGAATAAAATCAATTCTTCGCTGTAACAGCTCATACTTTACTTGCTGATATTTAAGAAGAAAGAAGACAATTCAGTGAATAGAACTTTCTTTTCGACGGTTTAATTTATTCGTATTGCCTTTCTTCTTCAATGAAACTATGGGTCTCTTTCGTTATTGATATTTCATTGCTTGCTAAGATGTGAGACTCTGTGGGTAACAATCATATTTGTTATTGACGAATTCAATCTTGATGTTGTAAGCTGACAAGTCAGGGATTTTTTTTAGCTGAGCTGCTTGCTAACTGATACTCGTCAGCTTTCGTACTCAAATTTACATTTAAAAACAACCGGATCATGTATTTAAATCTTTTGAAATTTATTTGGGTAATATGTGCACAAGTATAAAATGTCTATCTGTTCTTAGATTTTAATGTATGACGTTCAATTATAGTTTGATTTTCGATGTTCATTAGTTACCAGTGATAGAAAAAAAAACTCCTTAAAGTTCCCTCAGAACATCATAATTTCTGAGATCAACTGAGAAATAATAAAGTGAATCATTTCTGATGAATTTTGATCATCATCTACAAGTGGATTCTCAAATGTTTCAGTTCTTACCCTGGATTAATATTTTGTTACTGATACTTATTTAATTAGTATGTAAATCTCATAAATATTGCTATTGAACTTCCTAGGGATTCTCACTATACATTATCGTATTTGATAGGTTCGTGTAAAATAAAGATTTACTTTTCCACTTTTTTCTCAAATACAGGTTGTTACCATTGAACCTGGTTACTATTGGAGTGATCACTTTGGAATACGGTTAGAAAATGTAGTCTTTGTTGTACCTGTTGAAACAAAAGATTTGCACAGTAGTGACAGGAATAATTATACAGCTAAAACCTCTACTGGTCACCAATCTTTTCAATTTTCACCAGACATTAACAATACTAAATGGCTCAGTTTTGAACCAGTCACCTTAGTTCCATTTCAACGTAAATTTATCAATTCTGGTATGTTGACTACCGATGAATTGAATTGGTTAGATAATTATCATAAAACAATTCGTCAAGTTTTATGTAGTCGTATTTACCAAGAAGTGAATATCCAGTTGTCAATTAACAATGGAAATGATGACCATGAGATCATGTTATCAAATATGTCAATGTTATCGTCTAGTCGTCAACGTTGTTTACAATGGATATTAAACCAAACAGAATCATTTTTGTAATCTGATGAATTATATAGGTACATGATTTAAACTTCTCAATTCTTTGTTGTATTATTTGTGAAATTTTTACTATAAAAATATTAAACTCACTTTTATATTCGTAATAACTAAACATTCATAATGGTGATGCCAATGTGAAACGATGTGATCTGCGTGTTTACATTGTCTAACCTGTTGTTTTGTAAATATCATTTGTGTTAAACATTCGTTTTTCCTTTCATAATGACACTCGATGCATAATATAACACCGAGACATTTGTGTATCAGGTTTAGCAAGTAGTGAAGAATGTGATTGTTTGTGTAACAGATATTCAGTTTATTGATTAGATGTATAATGTCAACTGAGATAGTTGTAATAATTAGTGATTATGGAGGTAAATTGCTAATTATTTTTACGGAGACGTTCTTTTTTTGAATCTCCTTAACTAAAATGTAAATTAACAGCAATTGGCTGAAATATTTAATTATCAGAATAGAGTTGTGGAGATTATTGTGTTTTTGATAGAGATCATGAATCGATTGATGCTAGACTACTATTGAAAACCTGGAGGCACTGGACAGCCGTTTCGTCCTATTGTGAGACTCTTCAGCAGTGAGCATTTGCGATGGTCATGATTGTTGGCTTTCATTGAGATTAAAAAGAAAAATTGGGTTTTATAATTGATGTTTAATTCAATAGTCGAATTGATGAGTCGATTAAATCTAGACTATTAGGGAAAATCTGGAAGCACTGGACGGCTGATTTGTCCTAGTACGGGAGTCGTCAGCTTTAATCGACTGATGAATTCAACTATAAAATTACTAAAATCTCCACAAAACTCCCAGTTGATGATATTTAATTATTAAGAATATTAATAATCAACCTAAAATGAACCGATTTATCAAAACAAATGAAGCAGTTAGGTGTCTTACGATTATTCGGAATACTTGCTTTATTGGAAAAGTTAAAGAAATATAGTCTTCAACATCCGTACGTTATATTTAAGCCAACGAATTAAGATCAATAAATAACGTAATTACCAGTTGATGGATATTTCAAAATCGTTTCATGAGAACAATTGTATTTGAGATAAATCTAGCCATGTTCGATATTTTAATTTGAATAACAAGACTGTGAATCACTCAATGGACTCTGACTAGGTTATCTATAGATTCCACCCCCATTATGATGCCTAAATTTACTTGATTCGCATTTCATGTAGAGTTGTGCTTATAAACTGATAGCGAATCATGCACAGGGAAAAAGCAACTATTCACCGATCTCTGACTTTCAAAATGATCATTCAGATTACACCAATCCGTTAATGAACAATTTTCTACTAATTACTTATGTAAACTTTTATAACGTTTACAGTTGATGTAGACTAGCGATTTATTTTACATGGATTTATTTTCGATAGTTCTAATAAACATCATGATCAATGAGAACCAGACAATAATATAAACGTGTATTTGCTAATTATCAAGAGATTTATTTACATACTTACGCCTGTTACTCCTCGTGGAGGAGCCTAGGCCACCCACTAGTACTCTCCATCCAACCGTGTCGTGGGAAATCATTTCCAGTTGCTATTCATCCCTTATATATATATATATGTTTCCGTTTCATGATGTAGTGTGTTCTTTGGCCTTTCCGCTTCCAATTTAATGCTTGCCTCGTAATGCAGTTTGGTGATTTCCGTAATGTATGTGTTATCCAGTTCTAACATTTTTTCCTAATTTCCCCTTCAGATGGAAGCTGGTTTGTTCTATCCCACAGGAGGCTGTTTCTGATGATATCCGGCCAACAGATATTCAGTATCTTACGTAGACAATTGTTTATAAATAATTGCACCTTTTTGATGATGGTTGTGGTAGCATTTATTGACCTTAAATTTGACTCCATTCAGGTCGTAAAAATGGTTGTTATTGACAATACACATGTCGCCAAGCCTCATATATTATCGTCGACTAAAATCGCGCTAGTGAATAACGGGATTAAATAAGTCAAATACGAGAATGGATTTTTAATACGTATATTTCGTACAATCGATGATCAGGAAATCGTGCAAAATAAAGTGACGTGCAACAGAGAAGGCGATTGAGCCAACTCGATTTAACTATGCGTGAATCGACATTTATAGCCGAACAAAAATAAGTTATAGCCATGTGATGAATAAGATAATGAATTAACACACGCGCGTTCATATAAAATTCAGTCAGGATTGATAAGTGTATAAATAACGGTATTAATGTGGTTTGACATAGTGCCAGTCTTTACAAAGCCGGGCTGTAGAAAATAGCACAATAATTTTAAAATGTCTGTTTTCAAAAATAATACTGAAGATGTATGTGGATAACCTTGACAATACGTAGCGAAAAAATCTGTACTTTATCTGGAAGAGTGCGGTGTCATTTGAAGGGCGACTGTGTCATACTCATTAGACTCGACAAGCAGAAATACGTGAAAGTGCCACCAACGACATCGGAAAAAGCTGCAAGAGAAGGAAATATGAGATGACTAAATCATACGACGAAGAAACTTGCACGGAAATATAGTAAACTAGAGAGACCAGTCAGGGATAAAGAAGGCAAGCTTATCACCGAGACTCAAGAACAGAGGTACAGATGGGTCGAACATCGAGTAGCTATTCAGTAGATCAGCTCGAGTGAAAACACCGGCACATCGATGCAGCACTCGCAGACCTCCTTAAAGATGTCAATTTATCAAAGATCGAAAAAATCAGGATAGCCATCAGATAAATCAAGAGTGTGGGGGAGCAGGACCTGAGGACATAGAAGCTGAAAATAGACAGAAGGAACTGCACACATGCTCAACGTTCTATTCAAGAAGAACAAGTGCCACCGACGGACCGGAAAATAGGGCACCTCATCAAGATACGAAGGAAAGGAAATCTAAGCAGATAAATCACACTACTGTCAGTACCAAGAGAGGTTTTCAACAGAGTGTTGTTTAACAGGATGAAAGATTCAGTAAGCGACCGAATCTTATATCAACATACCGGATTTAGTAAGAATCAGTGGTGCGCAGACCAAATCACCACACTACAGAAAATTGTTGAGCGACCGATTGAATGGAATTGGTCACTATACATCAACTTCCTTGATTAGAAAAAGCACTCAACAGTGTGGAAGGAAAAATCTCATGGAACCCTATTCGACACTATGGTGTACCTGAGAAAATCATCAACATCATCCGAAATTCATACGATGCAATTAATGCATAGGGAACGGCTGGCAGGCGCATTCCAAGAACAGACAGGAGTAATACAAGTCTGCTTACTCTACCCCTTTCCATTTAAAGGTTGATTACGTACCAATGGTATAACAATAAAGTTTGCCGAATAAAAAACTTACAGTTAGGTCTGCCAACACCTGTGAAGCCAGCTGAAAAGAAGATAGACAGGAAATAATTATATCAGCATAAATGTTTATCAGAAACTAATATAAATACAGAAATCGGTATTTAATGACAGATCTAAAGTGCATTTAGCTCACCCTTTCTTTGGATAGTCATCCACGCTTATTTACGTTGTCCCTTGTATCGTGTAAGAAAACCTGGCTCACAGTATTCATGGCTTTTGTTATTTGGTTCTCTGGACAGGTCGCACTTCGGAACCGTAAACACAGAACATGTATAAACATATTTAGGCTGTGATGTGAACTTACTTTGAATTATCCTGTAGAATCTGTATTTGCTGATACCTATTTTACATTTAGTCCCACGTGAGGTATAAGCGATTGCCAGTTCCGGTGTGAGCACGTAATCTAGACATGTTTCGGTTGATTTCCGAAGATCAACACTTACGATTTCAAACAATCTGATCACCTGGAATTTTATAAACAACCTATATATAAAGAAACCTAGACTATAACGTTTGCTGCACTCGGTGCATAATGGACTTAAATACATGAGGCAGTGGCGGATTCTTGGACAATACTACCATACTGCTCTGTGGCTACGATATGGCCTACTTCTAAAACTGAATTGTATTTTTCGTTGTCAGTGCCTCCAAATGTTCTGGTAAGAACGAGGGTAGGGAGAGCCCGATCCCCCTCACGTAATGCTCTCACATGGCCACGCGTAAACAGCAAGTGCCAGGAAAGTCCTATTCACTGCCTTCTCGTGTTCAAAGTGTTGTTTACGAAATTTAGAGGAAGGAAATCGGATGTCTGGGTTGGTGGACATGCAGAATCCGCCTAGGATAGTTGGAAAACCCTGATTCCAAACCAATGGTGCACATTGACTCCAAAATCCTGAGAGAACAAATGGCGTATGAACCAATTGTTGGCCGCCGGTTACCATGTAACTGCATCTGCCGACATTGTTCCACTGCCTTGTGGATCAGACATTAAGGCCGAAGGCTCGGGGTGTGGCCCCCTAAGAAAATCATTTTCTTCAGTATGGGCACTCGAACAGTACCATAGCCCGCACGAAATCAAGTGAATTACGTGATGCATATGTATTTGGTGTCCCTTTGTACCAATATTTAAATATCCAAATAAATAAATAAAATTCTATTTTCAGTGGTCGTTAACTGGGACTTTCTCTGAAAATCGGATCTTAATTTCCTCAACTTTCTATAAAAGGTCGATCGAGGGTAGCCCACCAAGTTTGACACTGCTAGCTGTAATCCGTCTTTGTCCCTGTCATTACATTCTACATTATTAGTCTAAAAGAAACAACTAGCCGTAGTCAGGCTGAACACGAGCAGTAATCGAAGTCGTGGACAGTACAAACAATTCACCTGCATGGAGTGAGCTTTTTAAAAAATTGTGAAACCGAGGCTTCTGTCTCGTGTCTAATTTGCATACTAAAACAAAACCTTAATGTAATGCTGACTGAAGTTCATGATCATATTAAAAATTATTATTATTATTTGTAATTTCGTCTTAAAAGACTTAAGAAATGCACTGGTTACTAACTGTTTGTCCGGAAAACTGAGAATCTTAGATTTTGGTGTTTGTTCTCAAGCTTGGAGAAAGACAATTGAACTTTGGGGATTTCCCCAAAATAGGAAGATTGGAAGAATGTTAGGAAATGCTTGTATCATTTTAAACTATTTCTTTTGCATAC